GTGGGTGGAGAGGGGAAGGAGGCTGGGGCCTTGGTGACAGATGAAGGCGCAGCACCCTGTATGTGCCTGGCACACGGCGGAGGCTCAGGAAGTGCCAGCCTCCCCTCCCTCTGTTCAGAGCATCAAATTCTAGAATTACAAGAGGAAAGGTCCTCTGAATCCACTCTATCACTATTCTTACTGGTCAAAATAATGCCCACTTTTTCTCCTTTATTAAAAAGATTTTCTTCTCCCTTAAAACCTTTGCTAAAAATCAATTCTACCTAAGTAGAAAGTGTTAAGAACCAGACTCCCAGTGCAGGAGACATAAGAGATGTGGGTTCGATCCCAAGATCAGGAAGATCCCCTGGAGGAGGAAATAGCAACCCACTCCAGTATTCTTGCTTGGAGAATCCCATGGACAGAGGAGCCTGGCGGGTTACAGTCCATGGGGTCACAAAGGGTCGGACGTGACTGAAGTGCCTTAGCATGCAGGCACAGAAAGTGTTACTGTTTGGACACAAGGAGATGGTAACAGAGCAGAAAGCTCCCAGTGGCCTGGGGGACCGAACAGCAGCATCGGAGCAAATCAAGACCCTGAAGGGTAAGAGTTAAAGGAATGTGAACCCCCAGGTCCCGAGTCCGCCAGGAAGTACTCGTTCAAAAGGTGTTTCAAAATTCAGAGCAATTCCCCAGCTCAGCGTGGAGTCACAGCAGCTTTTCTGGCCTCCTCCTACGTTGGAAATGAAACGCCTTTTCTAATTACTCAGCTACTATCAGACTCGTCATCATGCCTACAAGCCACAGTCCTGACACCTTTCTTGCGAGGGGGAGGCTGGACGCCACGGGACGGTGCCAGGCCTCTCTGCTCGGGGTCCCTGTGTCTCATCATTCTGGTAGCGAAGCAGCAGCAGGCCATGGGGAGTACCCTGTGCAACCTGGGTCCCTGATGAGCTGATCTAATCAAGGGACGTTTCCACAGCCACCACATGCCCTGGAGATTCCACTCAGCTCCTTCTGGCTGCCTAATTGGTACTTAGGTCCTACAGACAAGGGTTGCCTTGAGCCCGGTCCTGGCATCACCAGCATGCTAAAATGCTCATACTCCCCTAAGGGCCAAAACACTTGTACATTTGGATCAACTAACAATTCATTTTCACAAAATTAGGGTCTATGCACAGGATCTGCAGCCAAGGAAGTCTCTCTGGGCACCCATGGGGACCCCCAATCCACTGAAGCTCCAGCCATCACCTCGTCCCCTGGCTGAGATTCTGGGACCAACCATTATTTTCACTCTCTTGCCTATACCATCAGCCCCACGTATGCATCTTCATTTTGCAAACACACCACCCTGGCTCCCTCTCCATCCACTCTGCATCTGCCGACATGAAGGAAAACGGAGCTGGAGAAAAACTCACACTGCCATGCTCGCTGGTCCCTCTCATTCCTCACAGCACTTACCACTTGCTCATGTACTGGATATTTGCTTGTTTATTGTATTAATGGTTTATCAACATTAAATTATATGTCCATTCCAGGGGGACATGGATCTTTATCTCCCTAATTTGAGCAATGGGTACAGAGCCTAGCCTATACGTTTATTTTTGGGGGGCTCCAAAATCCCTGCAGATGGTGACTGCAGTCAGGAAATTAAAAGACCCTTGCTCCTTGGAAGAAAAGCTATGACAAACCTAGATAGCATATTAAAAAGCAGAGACATCACTTTGCCAACAACAGTCTGTCTAGTCAAAGCTATGGTTTTTCCAGTGGTCATGTATGGATGTTGGACCGTAAAGAAGGCTGAGTGCTGAAGAATCAATGCTTTCAAACTGCGGTGCTGGAGAAGACTCTTGAGAGTCTCTCGGACCGCAAGGAGATCAAACCATCAATCCAAAAGGAAATCAACCTGGAAAATTCACTGGAAGGACTGATGCTGAAGCTAAAGCTCCAATACTTTGGCCACCTGATGGGAAGAGCCAACTCACTGGAAAAGACCCTGATGCTGGGAAAGATTGAGGGCAGGAGGAGAAGGGGACAACAGAGGATGAGATGGTTGGATGGCATCACCAACTCAATGGATATGAGTTTGAGTAAATTCCGGGAGCTGGTGATGGACAGGGAGGCCTTGTATGCTGCAGATTCATGGGGTCGCAAAGAGCCAGACACAACTGAGCGACTGAACAACAACAACACAGGGCCTAGCACACAGTAGGGGCTCAATAAGTGTACTAGTGAATGGCATGCTCTCCAATGAGTGGACAGGGCACAGAAAGCTGGCAGTAATGACTGGGCAGGTCTGCCTGTGGGCCTGGGATGGATCAGTCCTCTTTTCTTAATAACAACTAACATGTTCCAATGTCCTGTGGCCACCTTGGTCCAAAAGACAGTTCTGACATAGGCCCATATCTACAAATATCATTTTGATCTATCTCACGGCTTCTTGCCCACGGCCACACTCTACCCTACCCAGGTCCGTGTCTCCCTCGTCTACTCAGTTTCCTGGCTTCCAGACTTATCTGCTAGAATCCAGTCCATCCACAACATACACCCACAGCCTCAGGGACCCCTCTGAAAGCTGACTAATATTAATGCCCTGCTTGAAGTGAAAAGTGATGTGAAAGTGTTAGTTGCTCAGTTGTGTCTGACTCCTTGTGACCCCATGGACTGTAGCCTACCAGGTTCCTCTGTTCATGGGATTCTCCAGGCAAGAATACTGGAGTGGGTTGCCATTCCCTTCTCCAGGAGATCCTTCTGATCCAGGGATCAAACCCAGGTCCCCTGCATTGCAGATGGATTCTTTACCACCTGAGCCACCAGGGAAGCCCATTCCTCTCCTTAGGGTACATCAGTAGCTTCTTATAACCTGACAGCAATTAGGAGGTGGACAGTTTTCAGAACATAGATCCAGACACCAAGCAAGGCTTTCAATTACTTTCCAGTCTTTTTGCTGAGTGAGGGAGAAGGTGTCTATTTGTGCAATCATATCTCTAACACCTGATGAGGAATCACTTCTTCATCCCCACGTCCGACAGAAAGAACCAGCCTCATCTAACACACACATTTATAAAGTCTGCACATGTGACTATTTAACTCAAAGTATGAATCCTTTCAAACTAAATTAAATAAGAAATTCTGCTCCTCAGTCACCCTAGACACATTTTAGATACTCCACAGGCACATGTGACTTGCAGCTACCATCCTACAAATGCAAATAGAGAACTTTTCTGTCTTCATGAAAAGATATACCAGACAGGGCGTGGGATGGATTTTATTCCCCTTGTTTTGTTTTCATGGCATTTATCTCTATGTCTCCTCTGACTTACATGTGTTGATACATTTTATTTTCATATGTAGTAGTAAAATTAATGTTCTTTTCCAAATGCACTAATTTAGGTAAAATTAAAGCCACTTAATTTAAAGAAAATTAATAAAAATGAGAAAAGAAAATGAAATAATGCACAGTGTACAGACAGAGTCACAGTTGCAAAAGGGGTTTGTGAATGACCAATGTTTGGAGACAGGGGTCCCCGGGAGGATGTCCCCTACTCACACCATCAACCAGGCCTGATGCAGCTGCCCTGACCTCCCACTTTCCTGTTTCATCATGCACACCTACAACCCCCGCCCCCGCCCCCCCGCCACCACCATCCACCCTGGACCCTTCAGCGGCCTCCTCAAGCTACTGGAAACATCCTAACCCTGCCCCCTCCTCAGTCCTCCCTGGTAGCCCAGGCAGAGTGTGCAGACCTGAGTTATAAGCAAGGCTTGCATCTCTGATACCACCCAGGTCAGGGCTGTGTCCCCCAGAGGTGCCCTTGAGAAAGAAGCCGAGTTTCTTTCATTCACCCTTGTGTCCCTGGACCTCAGTATGGGGCCTGGGATGGAAGAGGAATTGATGGTTAAATGAATGAAATGAAAAACAACCCCTTACACAGCTGCAGGGCTTTGTAATTTTTAAAGGGCCTTGGCATTCACAGTGTCATGGAATCCTCACAACAGCCCAGGGAGATAGATCGCGCAGAGGTTACCATCCCCACCCTAGTCCTAGGATAAGGAAACCCGGGCTCCAGGAGGAGGAAGTCACTGTCCCAAGACCGCGGCCTGAGGGCAGGGCAAAGAGCACTGGGCCAGGCCACGGGACTCTGTCCCTGCCAGGGCTTCTTTCCAAGCATGCATTTCTTCATCTATAAAATGGGCTATGATATCACTGCTACTGCTTTGTAGCTTTTATGTCCACCATGAACACCAAGTGAGGTTGTGAATGAAAAGCTACTTTGTAAACTGTAGTGTGCTGCGCAGAAAGCTGAGATCAGCCAGCCGCAGTCCCTTGAGTCCCACACCTGCCCCATTTGCAGACCCAGGGCTCCTGTGTGGTGCCTCATCTTTTTCTGCTGGGAAGCAGGTCAGGCAGGTCCATGCCACCCATCTCAGGGGCGCCCAGTTCCTGAAGCAGCGCATGATTTTCCCCAGGAGACCACTCCTTCCCACATTCAGACACCATCCTGGGGTGGAGCTGACCCCTCCAGCACCAGGGAGGGGCCTGGCCAACCAGAGCACTGCATCCCCAACAGTAATGGGTTCAGGGGTGTCCCTGAGGCCCAATCAGAGCCCGTGGGGTACCACCGGGGAGCTTGGTGGGACAGTTCAGCAAGAGCTGTCTCTTTTCTGCTGGACTTTACTCTGGGATTGCAAGGCCTGATCTGCTGGTGGTTCAGCTCACCACCACTGTGGAGGCCTACCCAGGTCTCCATCTCCTTCTGGGTTCCCTGTGAGGCCCCAGATGATGGGGGTCACCCCTGGAGGAGGTGAAGGGTCAAAGGTAACCCTCAGTGACCGCAGTTTTAAAGTTTTCATAAATAAACTCATCATGATGCCCACACTGTGAGCCAGGAGGCACCTGGCTGAAGGGGTGGAACAAAGTGGCAGCCCCCAGCCAGCTCGCTTACAACAGGCCAACTGATGCCTGACCTGGGGCACCCAGCCCGCGGAGTCGGCAGCGGGGCCGCAGCAGGAAAGGATACTGAAGCTCCGGTCGGTGATGGCCAGGTGCCAAAGGTTGATGCGCAGGTCGTCTGCCGACATGTACGTCTCACAGTCGCTGTTGACGGAGATGGAGTTGATGTGGTAGGTGTGGCCATTGGCAAAGACCCTCCGCGGGCTCACCTCCACCATCAGGTCCATGGGCTTCAGCACCGGCACCTGTGGAAGAGGAGGGGCGGTCAGAGCTGGGAGCGGAGGGTGGGGGTGGGGGGAGGGGAAGGCAATGGGGGAGGGGTGCTGGCAGGACACATCCAGGGCCGCGTGATCAGAACGCTGGGAGTGCAGCCAGTTAGTGTCCATCTTGCGTGGGTCAGAAGTAAGCAGTGCCACGTTGCTACGTCCATCGTGACAGCCCTGCAGGAAAGCCTACCTCCTTTGCGCTGCCTCCTGGGACTGATTCTGAGCCTGCTGTGTGACTTTGAATAAATGGTTAAACTCTCCTGCACCCCCAATTTCCTCATTTCTAAAAGGGAAGGAGAAGATACTGTGGCAGAGCCAGATTGTCCACCAAACATTTTTGTTCCCTTATTTTGGGGCGTGGGGTGGGGGCTACAAAATCACTGCAGATGGTTACTGAAGTCATGAAATTAAAAGACACTTGCTCCTTGGAAGAAAAGTTATGACCAACCTAGATAGTTTATTAAAAGGCAGACATTACTTTGCCAACAAAGGTCCATCTAGTCAAGGCTATGGTTTCTCCAGTGGTCACGTATGGATGTGAGAGTTGGACTATAAAGAAAGCTGAGGGCTGAAGAATTGATGCTTTTGAACTGTGGTGTTGGAGAAGACTCTTGAGAGCCCCTTGGACTGCAAGGAGATCCAACCAGTCCCTCCTAAAGGACATCAGTCCTGGGTGTTCATTGGTAGGACTGATGCTGAAGCTGAAACTCCAATACTTTGGTCACCTGATGCAAAGAGCTGACTAATTGGAAAAGACCCTGATGCTGGGAAAGATTGAAGGTGGGAGGAGAAGGGGACAACAGAGGATGAGATGGATGGATGGCATCACTGACTCGATGGACATGAGTTTGAGTAAACTCTGGGAGTTGGTGATGGACAGGGAAGCTTGATATGCTGTAGTCCATGGGGTTGCAAAGAGTAGGACATGACTGAGCAACCAAACTAATACTGAACAGATCATAGGGAACTGGCTGCCCAGGCAGGGACTACATTTCCCAGCCGCCCTTGCAGCTGGGTGTGGCCACATGACTGTTCTGACCAATGGGGTGTGAATACAGTGATGCCGGGCACTAGGGGGCCAAGACAGTTAGGAGGCCGCTGTAACTTCTCTTTCCCTTTCCCCTTCCATAGCCGGAAGGTGAGGGTCCAAGCTTTAGGGATGGAGGCACAGAGGATGGAAGGTGTCCCTGTAGGAAAGTGGTGTGCCATCCAGCATGCCCAACCAGAGCTTTCCATGAGTGAGAAATACATTTCTGTGAGCTCTGCCCTGGAATGCTGCGGCTGTAATAGCTGCCGGTGTTAGCCGAACAGGTACGAACTCCCGGAGACAGCGTCAGATAGCATGCCTTTGCTTCCCTCCATGCCCTCTGCCTGGAATGCTCATCCCCTTGGGACACCTGTACATGCTAAGTCACTTCAGTGGTGTCCGACTTTTTGCGACCCTATGGACTTTAGCCCACCAGGCTCCCCAGTCCATTGGGATTCTCCTGCTGCTGCTAAGTCACTTCAGTCGTGTCCGACTCTGTGCGACCCCATAGACGGCAGCCCACCAGGCTCCCTGTCCCTGGGATTCTCCAGGCAAGAACACTCCTAGTGAACCCCAAATCCTCTTGCAAGTTCTGGAGTTTATAGCCCCTTGGATGTGCAGCCTGCCTCCTGGGATGTCACACCCTTGCTCACCCCTAGAATGCTGCACACACCACACCGTTCTCAGGGCTCTGGGCGTGCACTGCGGGGTGTTTTGGGCAGGACTACCAGTTCCAGTAAACTGTGAGGTCTTCAAGGCCTGGCCCAGACCCGATGTCCAGGAATTGGACATTGCCATCCCCACATCACTGATAAGAAAACTAGATGCCAAGATGAACCAGACTTCCTAAGCCACGGAGGAAGAAAATAACAGAGCCAGGACAAGAAGTCAGGTGTGACTGCCCCCGAGGGTATCACTGTGCAAAGGTGTAGACCTGAATCCTGACTGCTGCTTCAGCCCTGCCCAGCCGCTTACTCATGTCATGTCCATGGCAGATTTCACTTCTCCAGGCCTCATTTTCCTCATCTGTAACCAGGGTGATGCCAGTGCCTGCTCAGGGCATCCAGGAATTAATGCAGGTCAAGTGTGCCTGGCACATCACTCAGTACACAGTGCCCTCCTCCCCCTTCCTCGGGGGGTGACCAGGGGTGGCCAGGGCTCACACAGCCACGGTTTCCAGAGTGGGCCCTGGGCAGTTGGGGGGTGCTGTAGGGGTGACGGAAATTGTGTCCGAGAGAGAGGCAGTGAGGCCAGCCTTGGAGTGAGAAAGACAGGAGATTTGAGTGAAGGGCAATGCAGACCTTTGGCAGCTAACTGCAGGGTTTCCAATCCCTGGGAGCAAGCACCAGGTATTAATGAAAAGGCATGACTCCAATCAGAAGTGGGAGGGGTCAGGCGATGGGGGGCCCGCTGCTTGCATTCACATGGGAGAGACGACAATAGGCAGAGTGTGTGTGTATGTGTGTGTGGAGGTGGTTTCAGGTAGCAGTGGGTGCTCCAAAGAAAAATAAAAACAGGTGAGGGGACAGGGTAACAGGGTAGAAGGGGCTGATGCCAGGCTGGAAGGGTGACCAGGAAGTGATGTGTGGGATTGGGTTAAGACACGCTGTGGGGATTGAACTCGGGCTGATGTGGGACCCAAGAGAATCTCCTTGGCCCAGGGGACCTTCTCCAACCCCACCTACTCTTGAACTGGGCCTGGGGCTCCCTGGGGCTCCCACAGCCTGTAATCCCTCATCCCAGCAACAGTGCTTCCCCCTGACAACCTCAGAATAGGTCACCCAGTGCTCCAGCCAGACACTACCACCCTCAGACCAAATTTCAAAGTTGTGAAGTAAAGAAAGGAGAAGAAGAGGGAAGAGATATCTGCTGTGAAGGTCTGAAGGTTTCATGAATAAAACTTTCCCCCCTGCCCCTACCCTGTCAGAGGGACAGACTAGTCAAGATGAGGGGCAGGAAGACAGACACAATATCAGTAAGGACAAAGTAGTGTGGGACACACAAGGTCAGAGTGGACAGAAAAGGCTAAGGATTCATCTGGCAGGAATAGAGAAGGTTTTACAGAGGTGGGGGCTAATAGGGTTTTAAAGGATGAATAGGAGTTCGCCAAATAGGGTAGAGAAAGGCCTCTCTGTGTGTTCCTGTGTCACAGAGCTGACCTCCAGCATGGGGGTGACTACATGTCTGTTTCCTTGGGAGGCTGGGTACACTTTGAGGATAGGCACTCAGTCTCACGTTGCTTAGCTCTGGGACCCCGGAGCATAGGGCTTAGCACAGCGCAGGTCCTCAGTAAACAGTGGCTGCCTCCAGCATGAATGGTCCAGGTTAGGTACAGGGTTGGGAGACTTGGGTGAAATGGGGAGGAGACAAGGTGAGGGGCCAGATAAGGAGAGACCCAGGGACCCAGTTCTTTCCCTTTTTCTTCTCCTCCAGCCTTAGTTTACACTTAAGTGCCAGTTTGGGATGTGGGTGATATACAGAGAAAAATCTCAGACACTGGGAGGGAAATAAACAAGATTCCCATGGGCCACTGGCTTCACCACAAATGCTAGGCCAATCAAGAGGTGATAATTGCATCCTCCCACTAGATGAAGCCCTCGTAAACTTTCTTGGGGTTGGGAGGTGAGGGGGGCAGGGGACACCCTCACTCCCGTTATTCAACATTGAAGCTAATTGGCTTTCCCCGTTTCTCAGAATTTATGTGTGCAATTTGCCAATCATTTAGAGGCCAGCATGTTTAAACATTTATTCCTCCTTCTGGGGACAATGTTGATTACCATTTCATATTTATGAATCCGCTGGGTGGGCAGCTGCTAAGTCATGGCAGAAAAAACGGGTCAGCATCTCCAGTTTGCTGGTGAGGAAACTGAGGCACAGAGCTGGGGAGTGCCCACGGCCACCGGGGCAGCAGTGGGTAGCACCACCCTGGCACCAGGCTGTACCACTGCCTCTCGGAGCATCACACACGCAGAGGGACAGTAAGAACCCAGGGAGAAAGCATTCTGTGAGATGTGAACTCATCTCAGATCGGCTGAGGAGAGCAGTCCCCTCCTGATGCTGAACCTCACCTAGTCTTGGGGCTCTGAGGTCCACTCCCTGAGCAGGACCTGCCCCGGACTTAGACCAGGTCTGAACTCAGGTCCTTCACTGCATGGCCAGGCACACAGCAGGTGCTCAATAAGTATGACTGAATGAATGCATCTGGCATCACTTCCAGCAAACACATGGGTGACTGAAAGCATCCACTCTGTTCCTGGCGCAGTTCTGGAGGTCAGGGAGGGAAAAGGTGGCCTCCGTGTGCTTCCCGCAGGAAGCCGATAACCATGCCTGTGACTCTGCCATAAGGCAGGGACCTCACTTCACTTTCATGGAGGAGACTGTGATGCCGACTCTGGAGCCAGACTTCCCTGGGTTTGGATCCAGCTCTCGGTTTGCTCATCTGTAAAATGGGGATGACAATCATGTACCCACTCTACAGGATTTTGCTGGGGATTGAATGAGTTTTTATAGCCAGAGTGCTTGGGAGACACACGCTCACCACGAAGTGTTTGTTCTTGTTCCAGATGGGGAATCAGAGGCCCATGGAGGCTGAGAGCCCTGCCCAGGGTCACCCCAGCAGGAGGCGGCGGAGGCAGGACTTCAAACCAGGTCCTGCGACTCCAGAACTCTTTCATATCTCACAGCCTCTCTGCTGGAGAAAGATGAGTCCTTTTGCTTTTAGTCGAGTTGGGAGCAAGAGTTTGCCTTCGCACGGCTCTACCACCTAACCTTTGGCTGCTCTCACATCAACGGCAATGTTTGCAGCTGATCCTTTCTAAAGACTGCAAGAATCGCAGGTTCCAGGTGCCACTCTGCCCCTTGGCAAAGGGCTTGGGACCTGCAAAGCTCTGCTCATGGGTTCTCCCGGCTCTGCCCCTTGCTCTGCTGAGTGGCTCTGGGTGAGTTGCTGCCTGTGTCTGGGCCTCTCTTTCCCTCTCTGGATAATAAGGAATTAGAGGACGTGCTCTCCACCTCGGGTGAAACTGAAGAATACTTCCTGGAGATGCATCACCTCCCCTTATCATCACATGACTTCTAGAAGAAAGATGATCTTTGCTGGGGAGGAAACCAAGGACACCCAGCAAGTGAGCAGCCCAGCTTAGGTTCAGGATAGGAACCTGACAGTGATTTAGACATCAAAGGCCCTTCCAATCCTGAAATCCTCACTGTGTAATAAACAAAGCACAGACAGCTCCCTGCTGCGGGAACCCACCGTGTGCGACATCTTACCTGCAGCGACGTCACCGTGGACAGGTCCTTAAGCTTCCCCTCCTCGTCTTTCAGGTTATAACCCTCGGGCCTCTTATCGCGTTCGGTAATCTTCCATAGTTTGATAGTTTTATCTTTAAAAACAGAACAAAGTGAAACAGGACGCATGATGAGCACCAGCATGGAGAATGGAGGACCCACTGAGCCCACTAGATAAGGATGCATCAACCCACAAGTGACTGATCCTTATCGTGTTCTTGGATCCATTGTCATTGTTGTTTAGTGGCTAAGTTGAGTTTGACTCTTTTGCGACCCCAGGGACTGCAGGCTGCCAGGCTTCTCTGTCCATGAGATTGTCGTGGCAAGAACACTGGAATGGGTTGTCATTTCCTTCTCCGGGGGATCTTCCTGACTCAGGGCTGAACTTGCGTCTCCTGCATTGGCAGATGGATTCTTTACTGTTGAACCACCTGGGACGCCCTCTTGTATGTGTAGGCTCTTTCTAATTTAACTCCTTCTCTAAACTGATGCAACAAACATCTTTGCTAAGGGAACATTTGTAACCATGCTCTAGTTCCTCACAATTGATCACAAAGGTGATAATGCTGGGTCAGAGGGCATGGCCCTTTCAAGGGCAGTTATCAGTCTCTCAACTGATTTCCACAAAGACCATCCTAATGAAGCTTCCTGCTCTTTACCCTTCATGGGCAGACCAAAGAGGGTAAGTGGTTTCCTATTTCTGAGCGGCCTCTCACCCATCCAGACACTCAGCTCTCCTGAAGCCTCACTTCTCTGGGATCCTGCCAAGAACATCAAAAGTGTTGTCTTCACTAGCAGTGATGTTTCATGGTCGGCATCAATGTGGCTAAGCCACACTACCCAGATATGTGGTCAAACATGTGGCTGTTGCCCTGAAAGTATTTCTAAGATGAGGTTAACATTTAAATCCATAGAGTAAATTATCCTCCACAGTGTGGGTGGGTCTCCTCCAATCAGGTGAAGGCTTTAGCGGAAAACAAAACAAAACAAAACAAACCAAGGTCCTGGGAGGAAGAGGAAGCTCTGCCAGCAGACAGCCTTCAGATCTGAGCTGCACCATCAGCTCTTCCCTGGTCTCCAGCCCACCCGGCAGACTGGGGACCTGCCCGCCCCCACAGACGTGTGCACCAATTCCTGAAGATAAACCTCTCCTTACATATATAGGGGCTTCTCTGGTAGCTCAGATGGTAAAGAATCTGCCTGCAATGGAGGACACCTGGGTTTGATCCCTGCGTCAGGAAGATCCCCTGGAGAAGGAAATGGCAATCCACTCCAGTATTCTTGCCTGGGGACTTTCATGGACAGAGAAGCCTGGTGGGCTACAGTCCATGGGATCGCAAAGAGTCAGGCAAAACTGAGTAAATAACACCATATATCTATATGTGTGTCTACATCTATATCCATATCTCTGTCTATACTCACACACACACACACACACACACACACACACACACGTTCATCCTATTGGTTCTGTTTCTCCAAGAACCCTGACATGTACAGCAGCCCAAATAATCGCTGCCGTGTTCATGAGAAACCAGGGGAGAAAACTGGTATCAATTAAACACTTGACAGGTACCCAGGGATGGGCTAGGGAGGAAAGGATGAAGCTGGGATTCAGAACCAGGGGCGGGACGCTTGCAGGGCAGGCGTGTGAGGGAGTTCCTGGAGCTCACCTTTCCTCCAAAGAGGGGGACGAGAATGCCACTCACTGTTAAATGATGTAAAAGAAAAAGCAGGACCGAAGGAGGCTCAGTTGCAGGCCCAGTTCGAAGCTTGTTATGATCTGATTTCCTTTTATTCTCCCAATAACTCCACGATGCAAGAACAGCCATTGACTTTAGAAGGGGAAGTGGCAGGACCAGGGTGTGAACCACATTCTGTCCCGGGTGGCCTGTCCCAGGGGTGGGGGACCTCCCACTGCCTCTGTCCCAGAACCTGGGAAGGCCCTCTCTGGCTCTGAGACGGGGGTTTGCTGAACTTGAGCCTGTGCCAGGCACCCCTCAGGGGACACAGACAATCAGAATGGCAGGAGCCCCAGAGAGCAAGCCTTGGGGGGTCTGCAGGAGTGGGAAGGCCCATGAGAGGGACACCTGGCTCGGCTGAGAGGTCATGGAAGGCTCAGTGGGAGGCAACACCCAGCAGAGGCCTGAGGGATGAGAAGGGGATGGGCCAGGGGGTGCGGAGAGGACCAGTGTTTGAGCACAGAGGTGGGCCGGTGGCTTGAGATTGATGGGTTCCAGGGAGGCTGTAAATGCCTCCCCAAGGAGTCTGACTCCTTCGGGGAAGAGATGACATCATCTTGCAAGACTCACCCACTCTGGAGCAGTACCGGCTGGTCTTGGGGTGCTGGGTGGGCGCCACCTCCTTCCACCCTCATTGTAACCCCAAAGGGAGCCCAGGTGACCAAACTGAGGATCAGAGAAGTGAGGCCACTCCGCAAGGTACCCAGGCTGGGACAGAGCCAGGCCTGTCTTAACCCCCACCCCGGGCAACTTTGAGCATGGTGAGGCGAAGGAAGATGAACAGGGGGATGTGAATGTGGGAAGTGGGGCCTCAGGCCCTGGGCCCACCACTGGGCAAGGCAAGACGGTGCCAGGAGCCACACCTCCGAGTGGACCACAGTGAAGCAGGGGTCCAGCCTGGAGCCTCCTCAGGGGCCTGGCGGGGGCACGGGCTGTCTCCCAGAGGCAGACGGCGAGTGGCCAGGATACTGGTGCTCCTCCTGCACCCTCAAATGAAGACCCCCCACCATCTAGTGAGACCCTCTGCTCTGGGGTGATCTGGGATTCTGGGGGGGGGGGTGCAAACAAAGAGGTAAGTTTGTATCAAGTGTTTATTCTTTATCCTGACCTGGCCTCCTTCGTCCACCCCCAGATTATTGAGATGTTCACGGCACTGCTATTTACAGCTGCAGAAATAAGCCCATGTTCAACCACGGGAAGAGGCTGAGCAACCATATTCACTGCATGAAACTTACCCACTGCTCAAAATATTATTTTTTTTAGGAGTTCTAAAGATCTAGGAAAATGCTCACAATATAAGTGAGGTGAAAAGTGACTGTTGATGACAAACACATTTGCACATGTGTACACACACATGCTCACACATGCACACATACAAGCCCAGACCACAATATAAGTGAGGTGAAAAGTGGCATTTGATGACAAGAGCAGGCATGCATACACACGCGTACATACACACACATACATGCACACAAAGGCACATGCACACACCCAGACTGGCCCGGCCGCCTCACCGTTGGTGGACAGCAGGGAATGGGCGGCATTCTGCTGCGGGAGCCACTTGATCTTGTTGATTTTCTCCTCTATCTCCAGACTCTTGAGATAGTCGAACTCTGGCTCGTGGCTCTGGAAAGTGCTGTAGACGTCATACTCGCCCTGGCTGTGTGGCGCATTTTTGCTCTGCAAAGAAACCAGGCCCTGAGCTCCGGGATGGTGGGGCGGGAGCTGGCCGAACCCGCACAGCGCCTGGCATGGCCATGGCCAAGGCAACTCCGTTTTTAAAATGTCCAGTACCTTGCTGTGTGGCCCTGGCCCAGCCCCATTGCCCCCTCAGGGCAACAAGTAAGAAGGGCAACCAAGGGAGCCGGTGTTTACTGAGCACCTACTATGCATGGGACACTAAGTGCTTCTCACGCCTCCTCTCGTTCTATCCTTGATGCCCCTCCATGATGGGCAAAACTCCTCCCACTTTATAGATGAGCAAGTGGAGGCTCAGAGGTGAATCGACCCTCTCCCCCAAGGCCAGGTGTCCACACAGTGGTGTCACTCACTCCACTGAGGTCTGTCTGGCACCAAGACAGACCTGAGGTCTGACCTGTTCCTTACATCCTTGGGTCTCACTTGGGCCTGGCTTGAGGAATGAATGCATTTTGGAGCAGAATTAACATTAGGGCAGAACATCCTGCAATGTCAGGCATAGGGATAGACTGGGATAAGGTATTGTCTCCCCCCACCACACACACCGACTTTTCTGAGGTCCGGGCTCCCCTCCCGGTTTAGGCAGCCAAACTCATTAGAATGAGGACCTTCTGATGGAGTTCCCCAAATAGTCAGCTGGTGAGTTCATCGCAGGCACTAGGGACCACTTCTTGGTAGACAATTCAAGTTTATGTGACAACATGAAACTACAACTACTTGGGAGCAAAATAAAGAAATTCAACCAAAAAAAAAAAATTCAACCAAGCACAACTTCAAGTTTCCTGTTGGCCTTTTGACAGTATCTATTTCTATTTCTTTTCCTCTTTTACTTTTGGAAAGCTTCAACATTCTTCAATATTTTTGCCTCTCATTCACTTCATCCCTATTAGCACTGGCTATGGCAAAGGTCAGTGGAACTGGAATTAAGAAAAAAAATTAAAGGAGAAATATTCAAAACTGAGAAACCTTCCTCTGCCAGTTTAATTTCTTTCTGCAGTTTGGCAAAAACAAGATGACTTTGCAATCCCCAGTAGAGGCCTCTGGTCCTTCTCATGAATCAGAATGCTCGAGCCACAGGACTGGGCTAGATAACAAATTCCCAGCTACCTGCCTTCTGGCTGTGTGTCCTTGATAAGTTACTGCAAACCCTCTGAGCTCTGGTCTCCTCATCTGTAGACTGAGGATGGTAACAGCGCTGAATGGCACCTCTAGGGTGGTGGTGAGGGAGGGTTATGGGAATGAACGTGGGTGAAGGCAGACCTCAGGGCACCTCGGCATGGGGACGATGCTGAGGAGCTGGAGGGAGGAGAGTGACCCTTCAGCCCCTCTGCCCGTCACCCCTTCATCCTTCCCTCCGGCCCCCTCGTCTCCTTCTCTTCCTCGTCTGGCATCTCCTCTCCTCCCTCCCCCTCCCCTCACTGCCTTGCTGTTGCACCATCCTGTCTTCAGCATCTGATCCCAGCCCCCTTGGGAAGCAGGGTGCTGTGTGTGACCGACAGACCACACCCAGTCTCGCTTTCTATCCCTGGACTTTGCTTACTGACTGGGTGACTCTGAAAAGGTCCTCATTTATGAAATGGGGTTTTGGTCTCCACCCTTGGAGGTGGGCAGTGAAGAGTAAATGGGAGAAGCATATGCAGTGTCTGCATGTAGTAGGTGCTCAACAAACACGGCCTTTTAACCACCAGGTTCTTCCAGTGGCTCAGAAAAATGCCTCCAGGCAGGCTGTTCCAAACAACAGAACTCACTGGGGCAAGGCCCCGGGCTGAGTCAAACCATCAACCCTAGAAGGAGGGCCGGCCCACAGCGGGGGCAGGTCCCTCCTCCCCTCCACCCAGCTCTGGTTGGGACAGCTCCAGCTCACACAGGCAGTGCTGTCATTATTCGCTCAGGCATGTCTGACTCTTTGCAACCCCATGGACTGTAGCCCGCCAGGCTTCTCTGTCCATGGCAATTTCTCCAGGCAAGAATACTGGAGTGGGTTGCCATGCCCTCCTCCAGGGGATCATCCCAACCCAGGGATCGAACCCAGGTCTCCTGCACTGCAGGTGGATTCTTTACTGTCTGAGGCACCAGAGAAGCCCACACAGGCAGAGGGCAGATTAATCAGGAGTCTGTTTCTCCAGGGTCTAGGACACAGTGACCCCTCAGCAGAGGGGGTTCAGAATATGGTACTCTGAGCCGACCAGGTGGATTCCCTCCCTGAGACCTGCCGGGCCCCATCCCTGCATGCCAGGGCACCCTTTCCTTCCAGCCCAGGCACCCCGGTGGGGTGCTGCACGTGGCACCCTATGGGTTAAAGCCCAGCTTGAGTAGCCCTCCCTCCCTCCAGGCCCCGCCGCACCTCCGGTTCCCGCTGGAAGATGACAACTCGGCCACCCTTGTCGCCTGTGGCCAGCAGCTCCCCAGTATGGTTGAACTCGACGGTAGAGATGATATCGGCTGTGGTGGGGGGCGGGGGGAACAGAGACAGGAAGGCGTGGCTCATTAGGACCCAGTGATGTGTAGGTGGAAGGAACTGCTCCCTCCCGCCCCCCAGGGCCCTCATCGGGTGGTAGGAGCCCTGCCTGGGGCCCCCTCCCCTTCCCCAATGGCTGTAGGACCCAAGACTTGTTCGTGGGAGACTTTATTTCCTTCCTCCTCCCCTTCCTTTCAGAAACACTTGAAAGGGGGTTGCTTTATGTGCTCACCAGGTGACCCGGATGAAACTCACTAGCCCGACTCTGGGGGCCACAGAGATTCACTGTAGTCCTCCCTGCTCCCCACTGAGGTCCCCAGGAATGGGACTCCCATCATCATCACATTCTTGGCCTGGACTCTGCACACACCCAAAGCCTTAGTCAGGCTTCGGCACAGTGGATCTACTTTCAAACAAACTGCAGAACTGACCACTCCTCCTGGCGGTGGCTCCAGGTAGGCACTCGGCCGGTCCCTTGGCTGGTATCCCTCCTCCCCTCCTCTAGCGCATGTTGAGTTCTCCTTAGAGTGGCCAGGGAGAGGGCCAGCCTTAAGGCTCCCAAATCATGGGGTGCTTCTGCTCAAACCCCTCCTTGCATCATTTCCTACCCCAGCGATAGCAGTTCCATTCTCCCTCTGGCTCGGGCCCGAGCCTTGGGATCAGCCTGACTCCTCTCTCTCACCCTCCATGTCCAATCCTATTGGCTCAGCCTTCGAGATACATCCACATTCCATCCCTTCTCCTGCTTCTTGCCTGGAGGACCATGACAGTCCCCTACTGGGGCCCCTCTACTTCTCCCAGCCAGAACACAAGTTGGCCCTGACAGAGCAGCCAGAGGGAGCCTTCTCAGAACTTTCTAGAAGCTCCCCACCAACAGAGAGAAAGCAAAGGTCTCAGAATGTCTGAAGCCTTGAGTGACCTGCAGCCCCCAGAGGCAGGCCATATCAGGAGCCCAAACCTTCACCCTGTCTGGTACCTAATCCTGGCACTTGACAGGGTACCACACCTTGTGACTGGCTTTGGCCTGCGGGATGCCAGCAGACAAGCAGTTGTTCTGAGTCTCTGTTGCTTCCTGGAGCAGGACCTGCCCAGGCCTGCAGCACAGTCGTCCAGCTCACCCAGCCCAAGCAAGCCTGGGGGACTGGAGGGCCTGGTGGTCAGCACTCCCAGGTCTGCACAGTGAGGCTGAATCTCACCTTTATCTGGGACATTTCTGAACTAGCCACTGTGATTTTTGTGGACGCCAGAAGCAAAGATAAATAACTTTGACTTCCTGCATAAATTTTGGTCATTCATCATTCCTTCATGTTACGGTCCCAAACCCTCGGCGGCTGCTGCTGCTGCTGCTAAGTCGCTTCAGTCGTGTCCGACTCTGTGCGACCCAATAGATGGCAGCCCACCAGGCTCCCCCATCCCTGGGACTCTCCAGGCAAGAACACTGGAGTGGGTTGCCGTTTCCTTCTCCAATGCATGAAAGTGAAAAGTGAAAGTGAAGCCGCTCAGTCGTGGCCTACTCTTAGTGACCCCATGGACTGCAGCCTACCAGGCTCCTCCGTCCATGGGATTTTCCAGGCAAGAGTACTGGAGTGGGGCGCCATTGCCTTCTCCGAAACCCTGGGCAGATGTGTGATAACCAGTGTTTATTGTTGAATGCTCTGTGTTTTAACTCAGCAAACGGTAAGGAACCCCCTTATCCTCCACTACTCTCAGCTAAGCTCTTCCATTCCAATCTGGGCTCCTTGCTGATTCTCAAAATACCAGCTACCTTTTGTCTCAAGACCTGCTCTCTAACTTCGAGTGGTTTTCCCACTCCTATTTCCAATTCCATACACACCTTTTCCTTTTCCAATCAAGTGCCTGACCCACACTGGCCTCGAGCCACAGGGAAAGGCAAGCTCTGATGGCTAAGGGACATCACAGTGGGGACAGAGGGAAGGTGGTTCAGAGGCAGGATGCTGGGCTGGGTGTACTCACTGATCAGGATCAGAGCACATGTCATTCAACTTAAAGACGTGTGTGCATGTGTTAAGTTGCTTCAGTCGTGTCTGACTTTTTGTGACCCTATGGACTGCAGCCTGCCAGGCTCCTCTGTCCATGGGATTCTCCAGGCAAGAATACTGGAATGGGTTGCTGTGCAACTTAAAGATAAAGGGGGATAAAAAGCGAGGAGACCAGCTCTTGGGGACCACGGAGATGCTTGTTGAATGTGGAACCAGGAAGGGCATCAGGCCCCAGCTGCCCAGCACTGTCCCTGCGTGGACAGCCTGACTGGTCCAGGGACACAGGAAGGCAACAGCTGGAGCCACAGGCCAGCAGGGCCCGGTTCCCACATGTGGGGCTGGTTCTCACTGCTCATGTCAACAGTCCCCTATGGGGAAAGAGCAGGATATAGAACTGTGCATAAAATGTTTTTAATTATATAGCCCAGTGATCACAGCCATGGTAGATAGCAAACAAACTGGGCAGAGGCAAACAAGCTGGAAGAGAATTTTCTACCACCTTAAACAGAGGCTGCTTTAGGGTAGCTGAAAGAACTTTTTTCCCTCTTCTTTCTGTGTTTCCATGTTTTCTATATTTTCTGTAATGAATGAATATATTTTTAATAGCTTTTGAAAGTCGCTCAGTCGTGTCTGACTCTTTGTGATCCCATGGACTATACAGTTCACGGAATTCTCCAGGCCAGAATACTGGAGTGGGCAGCTGTTTCCTTCTCCAGGGGGTCTTCCCAACCCAGGGATCAAACCCAGGTCTCCCACATTGTAGGTGGATTGTCTACCAGCTTAGTTGCCATGTTAAACAGAGGCTGCTTTAAGGTAGTGGAAAGAAAAATTTTTTCCTTCTTCTTTCTATTTTTCCATGTATTCTAGATTTTCTGTAATGAATGAGTATATTTTTAATAGCTTTACTGAGGTTGTAATTGATATACACAAAATGCATATTATTTAATGTATGCAATTTAATGAGTTAGGACACATGCATAATATATATTATTTTTATGATGGAAAAATAACAATGCTATTAAACTAAAATGCCAATGTAACCACTGGTATCCAGAGCAAATGTGGTCATATAAATGCTGGGCAGTTACCACAGTAACAGACATTAACGTCTGCAGGAAATTTACAATTTATATGTCAGTTTTATATCTGCTGCCTCCTTTGAACCTCACGCCAGCCCCTGAGGGAGATATGACTATTATTTCTGTTGGCAGCTGAGGAGATGGATGGGGGCCCATTGACAGTGACAACCCCCTGAGCTGTTCATGGACCAGCCAGAAGTCCTGGGTTGGAGTCCTGGCTGCAACACATGGGCTATGTGGCTTGGGTGGGCTACATCACTTCTCTGAGACTCAGTTTTGTCATCCGTAGCATGGCTATAGCAGAGTCTGCCCAGGATTAGAAACTCAGGAGAGATGGTGGAGATGAGAGCCTTTGGAAAAGAGGAAGAACTATGAAGAACCTCTTGAAAGAAAAGAGTAAAAGAGCTGGCTTGAAACTCAACATTAAAAAACCAAGATCATGGCATCTGGTCCCATCATTTCATGGCAAATAAAAGGGAAAAGTGGAAGCAGTGACAGATTTTATTTTCTTGGGCTCCAAAATCACTGCAGACAGTCACTGCAGCCATGAAGTTCAAAGACGTTTACTCTGTGGAAGGAAAGCTATAACAAAGACAGACCTAGACAGCGTAGTAAAAATCAGAGACATCACTTTGTCACCAAAGGTTCATATAGTCAAAGCTATGGTTTCTCCAGTAGTCATGTATGGATGTGAAAGTTGGTCCATAAGTAAGGCTGAGCACCAAAGAATTGATGCTTTCAAACTGGAAAAGCTGGAGAAGACTCTTGAGACTCCCTTGGACTGCAAGGAAATCAAGCCAGTCAATCCTAAAGGAAATCAACCTTCAGTATTCATTGGAAGGCCTGATGCTGAAGCTGAAGTGCCAATACTTTGGCCACCTGATTCGAAGAGCTGACTCATTGGAAAAGATCCTGATGCTGGGAAAGATTGAAACCAAAAGGAGAAGGGGGTGACAGAGGACGAGACAGTTAGACAGCATCACTGATTCAATGGACATGAATTTGAGCAAACTTTGGGAGACAGTGGAGGACAGAGGAGCCTGACATGTTATGGTCCATGGGGTTGCAAAGAGTCTTACATGACTTAGCCATTGAACAACAACAACAAAGGACTATAACACCAAGGAATGATGAATGACCAAAATTTGCTGGACAGAAAATCAAAACTCTCTCTTGTCTTTGCTTCTGGCCTCCACAGAAATCACAGTGGCTAGTTCAGAAATGTGCCAGATAAAGGTGACATTCAACCTCACTGTGCAGACCTGGGAGTCTTGACCACCGGGCCCTCCAGTCCCCTTCTGCAAACACTGACAGAGCAGCTACAGACCTCAGGCCAGGTCAGTGCCTCCCCAGGCCCAGGAAGAGGCTGGTGGGTGTTTAACATCTACTCATTGTTACAGTGAAGTGTCTTCTAGAGTTTGCCTTCGGAAAAGTTGCCTCGCCTGAGAGCGCGGAGGTTCTCACCAGTAAAACCACGCAATCAGAAAGTCCATTCTTTCATTTTAGAATGTTTGACACATCTCCAGCCTCAATACCACCTTCCCCAGGAAGGCTTCCTTGAGAGCCCTCCTGTTCCCCTGTACAGTGGTCCCTCCTACATCTATGGTCTCATGCCCACAATGTGCCCCTCCTTGGATGGTAGACCCTACAGAGGAGATAGCAATTGGAATAAGAGGCAGCACTGGGTGAGTTTCTCATTTTTGTGGCTTTTAGCCTTAGGACAGGTCCTGGTCTGTGGCTACTGAAACTCAGATAGAAAGTCATACTCTTCGACTCGATAAGACAGAATCTGAGGAAGACCTCGTAGCTGGAAAATTAGGTACTTAATCCTAGAAAATTGGTCTACAGAGGAGTCCCCAAATGCAACACATAAACTCTGCTCCAGTGTTTAGCTGGTTGCAAACT